GAAATTAAATACATTTGAAAATCCAGGAAAATACCATCTAGCAGATAGAGGGGAGAGACAACAAAAGTAAACAGTACATTCAGACACAGGGAAAAGTCCAAATAAAGAAATAATCTAGTTAGCAAAATGTCATGAGAAATATCAAGTATGAAAGCTATTAAATATGTATAAGGTGGGAAGTAAAAATTTATACATACAATAATCATTATTCAAATTGCAGACACAAATAATATGAAAAATAATACAAACAAAAATCTGCATAATTAAAGGTGGGTAAGACAAATGGGCCAGTAGAATAAAAAAGGGACTACATTCCCATGTGTACACACACATATACAGGAATTAAGTATAACAGAAATGGCTCTTCATAACATAATAAAGACAGTCATTGATTAATCATCAATACATGACAAGGGACATTTACTATCACTTCCAATTAGGTCCCAAGGTCACATCATAAATAAAAAATCCTAATGGATAAAAATATTAGGGAGGGGCACCTGGGTGGCTTAGTCGGTTAAGCGTCCGACTTTCGCTTAGGTCATGATCTCGCGGTTCGTGGGTTCGAGCCCCGCGTCGGGCTCTGTGCTGACTGCCAGCTCAGAGCCTGGAGCCTGTTTCAGTCTGTGACTCCCTCTCTCTCTGACCCTCCCCTGCTCACGCTGTCTCTCTCTCTCTCTCTCCTAGAAATAAATAAAACATTTAAAAAAAAAAATATTAGGGAAAAAAACAAAAATAGCACAGTATTTTTATAGTAAGTAATAAATTGAGAAGACCACCTTAACTATATCCAGAAAGCCCAAGATCTATAAAGACAAATGTTAACATATAAACTTAGAACGAATGAGAAAAGTAGTCAAAGGATATAGGGAATTGAAATAGAAATAAAAGAGCTAGGGGCGCCTGGGTGGCTCAGTCGGTTGAGCGTCCGACTTCAGCTCAGGTCATAACCTCACAGTTCATGGGTTCGAGCCCCACGTCGGGCTCTGTGCTGACAGCTAGCTCAGGGCCTGGAGTCTGCTTTGGATTCTGTGTCTCCCTCTCTCTATGACGCTCCCCTGCTCATGCTGTCTCTATCTCTCTCTCAAAAATAAATAAAATATTTAAAAAAAAAGAAAGAAAAGAGCTAGTAATTTTTTTTAAGTAGACTTCATGTCCAACACACCTTAATGCCCACTGTGGGACTTGAACTCATGATCCTGAAATCAGGAGTCAGGCGCTCATCCAACTGAGCCACCCAGGCACCAGGACAATAAATATTTTTAAAAGATGACCAATCTGAGTGAACAAAAATATAATGTTTAAAGTATCCGATATGCAAAAATTTAAAAGATTACTGATATTCAGTAAGGGCAAGGTTACACAGGAAAGATGTACTCATACAGAGTTTAAAAAGGCAGAACCTGGAGCACCTGGATGACTCAGGTGGTTAAGCATCCGACTTCAGCTCAGGTCATGATCTCCAGGTTCACAAGTTCATGCCCCACATCCAGCTCTGTGGTGACAGTTCAGAGCCTGAAGTTGGCTTCGAACTGTCTCCCCCTCTGTCTGCCCTTCCCCCACTCACAGTCTTTCTCTCTCTCTCAAAAATAAACAAACATTAAAATAAAAAAGGCAAAATCTTTACACCTGAAACTAATACACACACAGTGCATCAACTATATTTTCTCTCTCTCTCTCTCACACACACACACACAAACACAGATGTAGCACAAAAAATAAAAATTTAAAAAATAAAAATAAAAAGTGAGAACCCTTTGGTAGGCTTGAGTATACTGTCCACACTTAAACATACATTCCCTTGGACCCAGATAGTTTACTCTGCTTCTGAGAATCAATCCCACAGATATACATGCACAACTATACAAGCCTGTATCACCAGGATGTTCTCTGCAGCACTACGTATAATGCACAAAACTAATAAAAGCAACTCAGTGGCTGCAATATGATGCCATGAGAAGAGGAACAGACTTAAATAAACCAAACAACATTCATACAATATTATGCCTCATTTAAAAAATTGACCTATGAATATACTGATATAAGACTGCAAAAGATAAACAGAGTCCTTTATGACAGTTTTCCCATCCTGACTTCTAGACCTCAGGACTATAACTTAAGAGCCATCAAATTGTGATTTCCAATTTTCTAGTGAAACTACTCCATAAGCTAGACAATTAATTTTCTATAGAATCCTAGCATACTGTCAGTGTACAACACAGATAGAGATTTGATAAAAGCATGTTGTCTTATATGGACTGTATTACTAAAGTATCCAAAATTGAGCATCAAAGACATTACCTTACTGAATGTGAAAGAATTTCTGATCTCTGTATTTTTCTCTCTTCAACAGTATCAAAATAAAAATGTCACTTTAAGTTCCCTATCCATGAATGCCTTCCAAAATAAGCTAGGTGAACAAAAGTTTATGCAATAATTTCAACTTCTAATTCTAAATGGTGAAATATGAGTTCTACGGCAATCTAAGGCATGGATTTTATAAATACAAGTTAGATTAATAGTCCATTTAGACAGTTATCTGCTTAATAACCAGCTATAGTCAGTCACAAGTTTCAAAAATGATTCATAAATTTCCAAAATTTTAAAAAACACTTCATGTTTTCATTACAAATGCTTTAATAGCAACCCCCTTAAAAAATATGAAATTGACAATCCTTGAACTGATACTTTAAATTTTTTGTTCTATTTAAATAAAAAAAAAAACCAAAAACCCGTAACTCATCAATACCTGGTCAATAACAGTTGATGTTCTAAGATGCAGATAAATGAAAACTATTTGATGATATCACAGTTTACATGGCAAGTATAAATCTTGACCTCTCTGTCTCAACTTCAAAGTGATGCCACCTACTTGATACAAAAAATGTCTAAATATCTAAAATCACTTCCATAATCTTTTAAGAAGGGAATTACTTAGTTATAGATGATAATTTACAAAGAGTTCGGTGGAATGACTTCCTGATTTATTAGAAATCTAAATTTTTTTTACTTATAGAAAAATGTTTAGCATAATTTAGGTGGTCTCTTTTTAGTACGATAATATCCATGCTGGAAAACAAAAATGTTCCTGGAACACTTTAAGACAGTAATTACATCTGAGAAGGGAGGAAGCAGAAAGAATTCGATAGGGTTTTAGCTTTTGCTGTGATCTTACACTTCTTTAAGTAAAACCTGGAAGCAAATGTGTCTTTTGGAGGCAGAGTCCCCAGGTTCTTAACAATTTACTACCTCTCTGTGACCTTGGGCAAGTTATGTAATTTCCCTGTGCCTCAGTTTCTTAACCTGTAAAATGGGGATAATTCTTCCTGCTATGTAGGATTAAATGAACTGACAGATGTGACATGTTTACAATAGTACCTGACACACAATAAATGTTATTATTACTATCATCATCCTCATTGAAACCTATAACTAACTATGCAATCTAGCTGAAAAGAACTGGGAAAAGAGGGAACTGGAGGGTGACATCTGATCTATTCCTACACTTACATTTCAAACATAAATTCTATTTTTGTAACCAGTAATAAATAACCAACTTAAGTGAAAAAGTAGCGTACAGTAGAAAAACCAAGTTTCAATCTTCAAAAACATGAGACAATACAGGCTTTGGTGTTTGATATTTATTTTTAGCAGGAAGAATATGCTAATGATGATGACATCGTTAGAAGATACGCCCATGTCCAATACCTGCAACAGAAGCTCAATAGAAGTTAAAGAAACCATACCAAAAGACTAAAGACAAGAATTGCATAACATTACTTACCCTTAATTCTGCTAACAATAAAACAAGTAAAAATATGTTTACGACTGAAGTTGCATCACAAGATCAAAACTGGCAAGTTAAATATCATATATATCTTTTCAAAATTTTTTACCTTTTCCTTACCATATACAGTTGGGAAACTTTTCTAAAGATAGAGCATGGTGCCAACAACTTTGCTCCAAATTGAAAAGGGCTAATGCTAACTAAGAGCTGAGAATTTGGAGTGGGAGAGCTCTTGATCAAACAGCAGGTCTCACAAGCAGAAGGGACAATCAATCCTCTTTGGCATAAAGACTGCTAAAACAAGAACTAAACACTATTAAAAGCAACTTAACTGAGGCAGTATCCTAACAGACCTACAAATTTACAGAGAACTGTTTAAATAAAGGGATCCAAACAAGTTAGAAATTCTATTACATTGTATTAGAATAAGAAATTGCTACAGCAATAAACAATTTAAACAAGAACTAGTCAAAGATTCTTAAAAACAAAAAACAAAACAAAAACAAATCTGGCCCATCTACCCGACAACAGCTACTCTGCTCAAAGAAAATATGAGAATGTTTCTTTCTTCAAGCTGCACCTCCAGATTCATCAATAGTTATCAACCACCAATTAATTTAAAGGAGCAATGACTTTCTACTTAAGGGTGTATATGAGCCAGTAGTGAGGTGGGAATATTTTAAGCATCAGAATCAGGGATGGAACAAAATAGTAACTTGAAAACTGACTTCTTGAACAAAACTGATGAACTGTTCAGGGACTGGGAGAGGGGGACTAGCATACCCCCAACAAATTCTATGCCAAAAAACTGTTTTTATTTCTTAATTGTATACCTAAGCCTGCATGTACTCAGAACAGGAATTCAATAAATCCAACCATAATTTACTGTAGATGACATCAGGCTTTATACTAACTGCTACTTTCCCATTAGTTTTGTTCCTGAAGATAAGAGTTTAAATTCTTATGATGGATTACTATTACTGGGATTTCACATGAATAATTTTAAAAAGCATCCAGTTTCCGTAATTCCACATTTCTAAGTTTACTCAGGTTGATTTGGTTCAAGTAGAAAGAAGCTCATTCCTGCAAGGAGTAGCTTACGTGGGCCACTGTCTTTAAAAAATGCAAAATGTATGAAAACAGAAATATTTTGAAATTCCTACCCAAAACTAAATTAAACAAATAAGGACTAAAGAAGGAAAAGGTTACGCACTTCCAATTTATGCTCTTTCTCTGCAAGGGCTTCCTTTTGACAACGAAGAAAATCTGCTAACATTCGAGTTAGCTGCTTCCTATCATCTATTTCAGCCGCCAATCTGCCATTGTAATCTGCCAGCAACATACAAGCATCCTCTACCATTTTAGAGAGCCTTTCTCCAGATTCTTTATCTAAGAAAAGTACAGAATAATAGAATTACTACACAACAAAAACAATGCCATATGCCATTCCCTCACCCTGACTTCCAAAAAGTTCTAGATCACATTTTCTTTTCTTACCTGTTATTTTATCTAGTAGGGATACTTCTTGGACTTCAACAGGCAAAGACGCTATCCTCTGATGAACTGCTGCATCACCTGAAGCTGCATTCTCTAGATCTTGTAATGCTCTAACAAGATCTAGAGTCTAAAAAGTTACACAGCTTTAGAACCAAAATAAATGAAACTTAAATACAAAAGACCTAAATTTTATTTCATATTCCTTTATCTTTATGAGCTATATACTTGTTCTAAGTTTCAAATATAAACTGCTTTTAAAGATAGTCCATTTCTTTTATTTATTAAGGAAAAGAAACTATACTTTGTTAGGTACTGGGAATATATAAATTGGAAACTAAAATAAGACATGGCCTTCAGCTTTGAGGAAGTCATACTCAAGTGCCAGAGACGGTGTAAAAATCATTATTGGGCTCTGAAAGTGACATGGTTGATTTATATGCCAAATACATGCAGTGGAAGAAGGGAAAGCATGCTATAACTTCAACCTAAACAATATAAGTTTTACATATGACATATTCATTATATTATCATTATACACGAGAATTTTTAAAAGTAAATTGGATACTGGGGGAAGGGAGATACAAATCATGTTCTACTACAACAGAGAAGAGTCTCACAGATTCTATTTCTAAATGATGTAACTGAAGCACAAGAGCAATGTAGTTTTGGAATATGTTCAAATATGGTTATCTTCAACTATTCTACAGTGTGTTAATAAGATCATTAAGAGATCACAAAATTCCATATATCTGATGCCTATCTAATACTTCTATAACACTTAACCAAGGTAAAAATTATGTTATCATTAAAATATTTATCATTAAAATGTATTACTTGATTACATATCAGATACTATTAGGAGGAAAGGGCAAGTATTTGCTGGTAATTTCACAATTCATAATGTTTATAAATTTATTCCAAAGAAAAACAAAAAATTTTATTTTTACTGGTCTCCATCCCCACCCACCTCCTTATTTTACTTTTTTATTTTTTTTAATTTTTATTTTTTTCAAATCTCTAAGACTAGTTCCTAGAACAGTAGAAAATTACACACATATTTGAAAAATACAGGACATAACCAATTTTGTGAATACATTAAGATGACACTGACATATAGTTGCTGACCAAAAAAACTGTTATCACTGGGATCTAGCACATACATAGTAAGTGATCCAACATGATAACAATGAATGGAACCTAATAAGAAATATACTATCCACATAAGATTTTAATTTATTACTATGTTTTTAAAATTCTAATATTTTACAAAATAATTTTGTTTTAAGATACATCCCCCCTACAAATAAAAGTAAGCTTAAGAGCAATGATGAGTATCATGAAGCTTTTTTCTCATGGTGCCCCAATTAATGTTTATATTGTCATTTCTTAATCAGTTCTAGAAGTTCTAAAACTTTCTGAAGTTCTGAAAAGTCATCTGGCTTTATGGTCCTGATGCATGCTTTCATCTCATGTTCACATCCCCACATGAATTTATTCTAAGTTTCTAGTGCTGGGTCAAGGATCAGATAAAAAAGGAAAGTTGTCTGAAAACAACACTAGCCTACAACTTTCTAATAAAAGAGAATGAAATGAGTTCAAGTGGATCCTACAAAGAGAAATTTTAGCCATTCTTATAAAGAATGACATAAATAAAATGGTAACTACAAAGCTGAACCACTGAGAATTAAGCAGTACAACTAATCTGAACATAGTCATCGTAAAATGAAAAGCAACAGCGGTTTATTTAAGTACTAGATAGTCCTAAGAAGTATAACTGGGGTTACTCTGTCATCAGGGAGAATAAGAGGATCAGACCCTGTATCTAAAACTCAGATAAAATAATATTCATGGAATCATAAAAAGCCCTTTTAGCACAAAGTGCTTTGTCTTGAATTACTACCAAATAGCAAAAAATATAAACCTTAACATTTGGTTGTTTAAAACATTATGTTCTTACTACTTTTTTATTCAAGCTCTTGTCCCTGGTGATCATATGGGCTGCAGCACCTCGTGTCAATGAGTGAACAGGTAGTTTCGTTCAGTTCCTAGCTGAGCACCTTGGTCAGATTCTTTCTGCCTCCCCAGTACTAATATGAATATACACCCAAAGTTCTAGGCAGTGATTGGTTTTATCTTTCTTTCAAGTTCCTTTCATTGGGGAAAGAATTTCAACCAGCCTCTTGTTTCATGCAGTGAATTCAGGTCCAGTCCTCCAACTCCCAGGGAGCACTGTGAGTTCTTACTACCCTACAGAATACTTATTTCTGGAAAGCCATGTCTGTTTCCTGACCAAAGCTCAGCAAGAACCAGACTCTGGCCCACATATTGAATTGTGCTTCTGTACCATTTCTAGCCCACGAAGATATTTACCTTGTTTTATGAGTATGGCTATGTCTTCATTTTCTCCTTTAAAATTTTATCTGTCCCTCCTATATGTTTGAAACATAGAAGGAGGAAGCTTTAACACTCAATGCCCACATAATTAAAAGTTAAAAATGTTTTTCTGGAATCATTTGATGGCTAAGGAATGCTATACTGTACCAACCTGAGAGGACATGGGGTATTATGATAATAACTCTAATCTATCTTATTTTACCATGGAACTGTGGTTCTATATAGTTACACAGAACTGTATGAATGTATGCTTGTTATTATAACACTTATTTTTACATGTTTGAAAGCAAAAATACTCAAAGGGCAATGTTTAAGAATGGCATTTTCAGTGTACTTAAATCATACAAAATGGTCTTATCATACAATGTTTTATTTTTTTAAAAGGAAACTATTTAAGAGGCGGATATCTCACCAGACCTATTCATACTTAGCAATCAGATATCCTCTTTTGATGTAAAATATAACTACCTAATATAAAACATATACTACATTAAACATAAACAATTTGTTAATCAGAAAATAAGAGATATTCAGTTTCTTTCTTGCCTCACAATTATAATAAAAATCCATTTATATTAGTAAAACATCAAAATTAATAAAGCTCAGTGGCCACATGAAGTAACAGCAACACAACTCTCTTAAAAGAGAAAAACTTCTACCTGTGGTGGTTCACTCGGAGATCCCAGAGAGGAACAGTTTTCATTTTCATCCACCTTTATCTGTTCATAAGTTCGCTTCCTAGGCTTCTTATCGCCATCTGAATTAAAAGAACATCCAAGTTTTAAGGAAAGAAAACATTTTAATGGAGAGATCATGATAAAAGATTACACACTTACACAGGGCTTGCTTAAGTTGTTCTAATACATCATTCTCATAAACAGACCTTTCTTCCCAAATAGATAATACCCTTCCAAGGTGCTTCTTACAACTTTCATCAGTCTCACTAAAGAAAAAATAAAAATATTAACAATTAATAGCGCTACTGAAAAGGTAATGGTGATTTAAAATACAGTCAGACTTTCATTCCCTAAGAAAAAGCTGTCCAAATTTTTACTGAGCACAACTATGTGACCAGAAGTTCTGGGGTGAAGTAATCAAGACAGGCATATTCCCAGGTTCCTTTAAAAGCTTACAGACATGTTTTTAAGATTTCATTTTTAAGTAATCTCTACACCCAACATAGGGCTCAAACTTACAACCCTGAGATCAACAGTCACATGTTTTGCCAACTAAGCCAGTTAGGCATGCCTGGACATCTTATTAAACAAAAAATTACAAAAAAAGTTCTTATACTGGCTATCAGGTATTTACAGAGCAGATGCTCCTAACCTAATGGGGACTGAATATGAGGCTAAGAAGATTTCAAATGGGTGATTTTTAAATTTATTTAACAAATATTTATTGATCAAGGCACTATCTTTGACACTGGAGATACAAATGGAGCTTTTATGGCAGTGGCACAAAAAAGAACAAAGTATTAAAGAGAAGCATAATGCAGAGATCTGGCCCAGTTCGAGAGATTAGAAAAGGTATGTGAGCAAGTGATATTTGAGATCTGTTGACTGGAACAACAGGGGAAGTGGCAAACAGACTACTCCCAACCACTTCCTACTGCCTTCATCACTACCACTGTAGACTGAGCTGTTATTACCTCTTTCCTGGATTTTTAAGGTCTTCTCATTGGTCTCCTTGGCTCTTACTCTTCACTCTATGCTCTACTATTGTAAATCAAATGATAATGCTCTTCAATCCGTTAAGAGGTATCAATCATACCAAGAATAAAACCAAAATCCTTATCTGGGACCACAAGGTAGACATGTTCTGCTTTCTGACTACTTCTCAGTCCCGATTCCCCAAACATCTTCTGCCATACAGATCTCCTTGCTGATGCTCAAACATGCCCAGCACACATCTGTATCATTATCTCTGCCAAGTATTCCCTCTACCTAGAATCCTTGCCTTCTAGATGCTCAGGTGGCTCATTTCATCCTTTCTTTCAAATGCCACCCCTCCAAAATAGTCATTTTTTATGTCATGAGATACAGTTCTCATGAGCACAGTCATACCCTCTAATTCAATCCTTAATTTGCTTCTTCACAATACTTATCTGCTGGCATAATATATACTCATCCATCCATAGTTATTACTTTTATCATCCACTGAAATGTAAGCTCCATTAGGACACAACTTTATGTTGTTCACTACCGTATCCTCAGGGCCTAGCACAGAGTAGGCAGTCAAAAAATATTTTATTGAATTCCTTGGGAGAGGCAACATATATAAAGCCTTAAGGTAGAAAGAACTAAAAGACGTTCAGTTAGTTTAAACTGTGGACTATAAAGTGTATGGGTGGAAGTAATGTGAGACAGGTGTCTGAAGATGTAGACAGGGCCATGAAGCATCACCTTAAGTCCTGCTAAGGACTTCAGACTTGATCTCTGGGATCAAGTTATTTCGAGAACTCAAAGGCAAGGGAGTGTTATGATCAGCTCTGCAACTACGGCTAGTTTCCTAAATGGAGTACACAATACTAGAGGTTCTTGCAATTATACAGAAATGACGTTATAGAAATAAGAATGGAGAAAATCTAAAGAACTGTGGGAACTATATAAACTACATGGATAAGGAGAATGAAAGAGAAAGGAGAATGTGATACACTAGAAATCATTCTATCAAAGAAAGTTAAAGATGACACCTAGTTTCTCATATGGGCATCCAAATAAATGGAGTTGCCATCCACTGGGAGAGTGAAGCCTGGAGGAGAAGCAAGTCTGACAGGGAGCAATGACATGAATTCAATATGAGACAGTGCACTTGAGATGTCTGGAAGCATATGACTAGAAATTCATTAGGCAATTTAGACATACAGGTCTAAAACAAAACACATCCAGTGGCTCCTGGGTGGCTCAGTCAGTTAAGTGTCCAATTTTGGCTCTGGTCTAGATCTCACAGTTCATGAGTTTGAGCCCCACATCGAGCTCTGTGCTGACAGCTCAGCACAGAGCCTGGATCCTGCTTCAGATTCTGCGTCTCCTTCTGTCCCCACCCTGATAGCTCTCTGTCTCTTTCTCTCTCTCTCAAAACTAAATAAACTCAAAAAATAAATAAAACAAAACACATCTGGACTGGAGTGTAAGACCGAGAGTTATTAGGGTGTGTAATAACTAAATACATGCAGTGTATGAAATCACCCAGAGGTCAAGTGAAGAACATGACCATAGGAAGAGGGCCTTGGACTGAAGTCATAAAAAACATCAACATCTGAAAAGATGGTAAAAGACAGTACCTAAATTGAAGGATAAATAATATTCATTTAAGAAAGTAACATATGGCAGTATTTCATACACTGTAATTTTTTTTAATGCATCCACTATGACTAAAGTTTCTGGGCATGTGGTGAGCATATTTTCATCCTTAAATCATTCAACACAAATCTTCACTTACTACTGAATTCTATAATTTAGATGGGTTTAACAATCTACCCCAATAATGTTTAGCCAGAAATCTACCAAATATTTGCATAAGTTTAGAAATAAGCATTTTTATAAAAGGGCATAAGCCAAAGCACCAACATTTACCTTCAGGCTTATAATTATTCTAAATAAATATTCTACACTTCCAAAGCACTTTAAAGTATCATGATATATACCCAAACACTAAAAAACCTTTAAATTATATGCAATATGAAAGTAAAGGGTACAACGTTTATCCAGAAATATTAGTTGGAAAATGAATAGCTTTATAAGCACACAAATTTTCAATTTAATACTCAATCATTCTTAATGAAGTCCATTCTAAAAGGCAGTTGCTTTTTCTGGTCATTTAAAGGAAAGTTGTTAATTCAAATACTCCAAAAGCCCACCAATCTGTGACAGTTCAAACATTTTCCTTTATAGAAAGTATTTAACACATTTACAAATGCCATTTATAGCGGTCTTTTCAAATAAAAATTTCAAAGAAATACATCCTGTTTTTTGTTTGAATGGCTTACAGCAAATTTTAACAAAAGGACATACTATTCATTTAAAACATTACCTAGTACCCAAAACAATCACCATACCTTGAAACATGTTTGAAAGCCTCCACTATAACTGGTGCAAAATCTTTTGTAAACTCCGGCCCCTTCCTTTTGCTGTTCTGAATGACATCATTGGCTAGGTAGAGAAAAGTAAGCTTCCTGTTTGGTTTGGCTGAAAAATAAGACAATTTAAAAATCTACTTAAAATATCCTCATTTAACTTAGATAAACATTCTCAATATCTGAACGAAGCACTTTGAGAACTACAACATGCCTACCAACCTTTAGGTATCATGTTCAACTCTAGCTTCTTATTCTACTACCAAACTTACCAAGTCACAATTCTTTAACTCACTAGGTTTCTGTAATTTCTGGAGACAAATCATGTGAGGAAAAAAGGACTCAAGAGGCAGAGATAGTCAATAATTAATCTGTTTCCTTGCACTTTTACCAAACTGCCCAAAATACTGACCCTTGATGTCTAGTCTTATCACGATTCCCAAATTAATAGTTTTATACACTAAATCCTCATCTCTGTAAAAATGCATCTCTGTAACTCTATCTGTACTAAATTTTGCTAAAACTATTAAACACTACCTGAAATAAAGCTTATTTAAAGTAAGATGGGGCACCTGGGTGGCTCAGTCCTTTAAGCATCTGACTTCAGCTCAGGCATTATCTCATTATACGTGGATTCGAGCCCAACGCTGGGCTCTTGGTGACAAGCTCGGAGCCTGGGGTCTGCTTCAGATTCTGTGTCTCCCTCACTCTGACCCTCCCCCACTCATGCTCTGTCTCCCTCTCTCTCAAGAATAAACATTTTTTAAAATATAAAATAAAATAAGATGATGACTGGTACCATTAAAATGGTATCCTAAATCTTGAATTTGACTGTTTTAATACCCATGCTGACTTTAAAGTTGATCATTAAGTTATCGTGAAACAAGAGTATAAAAAGTAAAAGGCTAAAAAGAAACATCACTTCAATTAACTATGGATTTTTTGTTTATAAATATTTCTCAAGCTAATGGAGTAAATGTTAGGGAGACTAAATGGACAGTTTAGATTTTCTCCTGCTTTGGATTACATGGCCTTAAATTACTGAATTCATCTTGACAAAAATACGTCCCTACTCACTATATTCTGTAGGGGCAGTCATACTTCTAAAAAGAACCTGGTTACAAGGTTAAGGAGATATTATTGAATATGACTCAAATAAGAGTCTTACATATGGGTAAAATTTAGTTAGTTGAACATAATCTTCTGCACTGGCTATTTTCATAATATAATTTTATTAGAATTAAATCTAAATTATTCAAAGTTGTACTGTCATATTCAGTAACTGTACTTTGTGGCATCCATACTCAACGATGGAGGAAACTTCTGGTCAGGACTGATAATCCAGTGCACCATTAATGTGGACCACTTTCTGGATTTAAGACAAAACAGGCAGGCTATATATGGTCCTCTAGATCTGAGTATTCAGTTTAAGCATTCAATGTACTAAAAACCACTTCTGAGTTCACATCTTTCTTGAGGGGAAACTAGTGACACAACCTTCTTACGAGAAACTAAAATACTGAGTCAGAGAGGAGCAGACTTTACAAATCTATGCTATCCGGAGAATCCTGTTTGCCTATCTAAAGATGTGGCCCTACCACTTTTTATGCTTTTGAAAGTCTTGGACGAGAATAGGGATATGGAAGAGATGACAATAACAAAGACCAACTTCTGATTTTTTTTTTTTTTGGCTGTCTGGTTAGATAAACCATACAGTATAACTGGTTAAGATACTAGAACCTTTCCCCATGAAGATGACAATAATGTCAACTTTCCCAATAATCAACCCTCTCTTTTTACCTAATCCTGTCCAAAGAAAATCTCACTCTAAGGACAGGTTAATATTACTGAATCCAAGTATCTGCCTTCTCAGCATCAAAATGAGTTTAGAAACTCAAATTTGTTATTACCTAATTGAGAGACCATATGCAGTACTCTGAATGGGTACCTGAACCAATGGGCTCCTTTTCCTAAATAACAGTAACATTTATCAAACTTTTACAATGTGTTACATACTACTCTAGGCACTTAACATATACTTTACATTTAATACCTAATTTAATCCAAGGAATGTGAGGTACCATTATTACCTGCATTTGGCAGTTTAACAAATAGGCATCAAAAGAGTTAACTGCCCACAGTGAAATATCCAAGAAGGGATCAGCCAGGAATTGAACCCAAAGTCCAACACCTAAGCACTCCCTCTTAATAACTGGGGCTATGTCTCTCATGACTAAGTTATAAACGGAAGAGAATGTTACCTTTGGAAAAGATCAAGTAGCAACTCTACCAAAATATTTTAAAATGTTAGCAGCATTATTCACAACAGCAAAAGGTAGAAGCAACCCAAGTATCCACTGACAGATAAATGAACAAAATGTGGTACATCCATACAAATGGAATACTCCACTACTCAGCCTTAAAAAAACAAAGGACATCCTGACACAGGCTACAACATGAATGAACCTAGAGGATATTATGCTAAGTGAAACAAGCCAGTCACAAAAAGACAAATACTATATGGCCCAGCTCTATGAAGGACCTAGAATAGTTAAATTCAGAAACAGAGAGTACAATGGTGATTGCCAGGGGCTGGGGGAAGAAAGGCATAGAGGGTTACTGTTTAATGGGTATAGAGTTTCCCCTTTGTAAGATGAAAGTTCCAGTTTTGGAAATGGATGGTGATGATGGTTTCATAACAGTGTAAATATTCTTTTTTTTTTTTTTTTTAATGTTTTATTTATTTCTAGGAGAGAGAGAGAGAGACAGCGTGAGCAGGGGAGGGTCAGAGAGAGAGGGAGACACAGAATCCGAAGCAGGCTTCAGGCTCTGACCTGGTAGTCAGCACAGAGCCCGACGCGGGGCTCGAACCCACGAACCGCGAGATCATGACCTAAGCGAAAGTCGGACGCTTAACCGACTAAGCCACCCAGGCGCCCCATAACAGTGTAAATATTCTTAATACCAATAAACCAAACACTCAGAAACGGTTACAATGGTAAATTCTGTTATGTGTACTTTATTTACTAAGCAAATTAAAAAATGTGTATTTTACAGTATTTTTTTTTTAATCCACGGGCTACCACCTCTTAAAGTTAATTCAGAAAAGTTTCTACGATATACATTAAAGCAAACATTCACAACATTCCAAACTGTAGTTCCCAGTGTATTCCAAAAACAAATTATACAAGGACCATGGATTTGGTATGGGGTACAAATATCAGGACATTACTTTTATTTTTTCCCCCTTGTGGAACCCAGTCTAAAATATGAGACATACCTAGAAAGTGCTATAACGTATACTCTTCTCCAAGTTCTCAGTAAAATATTTACTTTCATTTAAATGAAAGAGTAAATAATAAAGGAACTAATCAAAATAAGCAATTCCAGAGGAAAATAACAAAAATGATTTTCAAGTGAATTTTGATAACTTGAAAATAACAGAGTCATAAATTGTTATTAAAGTATACAAATTTAACAGGAAGAGCAAACAAACCATTTCATAATTCCTTAAAGAAAAACTGTTGGCAATAAGGCTTACAACCAAGTCTGACCTAGTTACTGCCTTTATTTTTACTGTCACAGGGTTCCTTATAAAAACACCTATTTTCCAAATCTTCCATTCAATTTAAATAGTGTCCCATGCTGGGCATGGATCAAAAATAACCTTTCCTATTCAATCAAGAGCTTGTAAGTTCTATATAAACTGGAACATGATAGGTCACATCACTAAAAATGTAAGTTCTCTTCCTTCTCTCTGATAATGTATCACACCAACACTGGAAACAATCTTAAATACAATATTATATCCCAGTGTATCTCTATGTGCCTGTATTGCTATATTTGCACCAATAAAGTATAAGCAATTAAGGACCGATCAATATTTATATTGTGAGGAACCATTTTCTTGTATCTCACCTGTCTGAACTATAAATTTTAAGCTATTGTGGTTATTAAGTATAGCCCCTTTTCCTTGGACCTTGTATGTAAACAGGTACATCAAAACAAATACATTGTAATAATAAAATCTGGCCAATATATGAGGACATAATATTACCTAAAATGTTAAGCGTATCTGCTAAAGGGCAACACAAGTTCAGTTCATCACACGAGTAAGAAAGACTTACATAATAATTCAAATAATTCAAATAAAAGAAAGATCAACTATAAAGCTTCAAAAAGAAGAGTATGGGCTATTAGATAAACAATATGAAACAAATTTAACTAGTCAAAGGACTACATAAATTCCACTTACTTTCACTAATTCATGATCAGTTCAGAATTTAGTTTTACTTAATTCATAATCAGAAACCAATAAGATCACTTATTTTCTTATACTGTACAAGCCATATACCTGTTCATTTTGATATAATGCAGAATAGAATAATCTATTTAATCACCCATGTTTTTACGGGGATTGAAATTTAAAATCATAGATGACAACGTCAATAATTACAACAAAAAGCTAAAATTTTACTGTGTTACCTATTAACACAAGAATACTCTTCACAGAGACAGACTTCTAAATGGGAGAAGCAGCAAAAAAAAAAACCTTGAATAAACAGGGACGCCTGGGTGGCCCAGTGGGTGGAACATCAGACTTGACTTCGCCTCAAGCCATATTCCCACGGTTGTGGGGTCACACTGGGCATTACACTGAGCATGGAGCCTGCTTAAGATTCTCTCTCCCTCTGACCCTCCCCTGCTCTTGTGTTTTCTTTCTAAACAAACAAAATAACTGAATACACACACACACACACACACACACACACACACACACACACAACAATGAGCATCACTATAGGTCTTACAGAAAGAAATCAGAAGAAGAAAAGCCATTATTTTGAAATAAAATTCTATTAAAGACTTACTACCCACTGTTGGACAGCCTCATTTATTTCCCTGGTAAACTAATTATCACTACAGACTAGAAGACATGTTCATATAGATAAATAGGTGGTTATATGGCAGAAACTAATTGTCTTTGCCACAGAAACTGTATAATCCACAGGGATTCCTGAATGGATTCTACCTGTCCCAAACAGGACCACAAGTTCAGTCAGATGCAGCTGGCTGCTTAATAGCTGAGGTGGGTGAAAAACGAGGTGGATA